CTGCTTCTATCAACCCCGTCCCACGGGGAGAAGCAGGCGCTCACTGTCTCTCCCCGCAGGGAAGCCGCGCATCGTGGCCATCAGCTCCCCGCTGTACGTGCGGCAGGACGAAGTGATCAACCTGACCTGCAAGGCCATCGCCTTCCCCCGGCCCTCCGTCCAGTGGAGCATCAACGGGACGGTGAGGGCTGGGCGGGGGTTGGGGGTGGCTCTCAGGATAAGGGCTGTATTTGGGTGCTGAGCTCTGTGCTTTCCCGTATCCCCACAGACCCATGAGTACGTGGAGAACCAGCACATCGCCAGCAACCTGACGGTGCGCGTGAGCCACGACCTGCTGCGGGCAGGAGCCATGTGCCGGGTGTCCAACGCGCTGGGGGTCAGCGAGAAGCACATCCAGCTGCTGGGTGAGCCCCGTCTGCCCCCATTTCTCCTCTGTCTGCTCTGTGCCACTAAGAGTCATGCTGCTTTCTTGCCTGGGGAGGGAGCCTCCTGCATCTGCTGCTCCTCTCCCTGTTCAGATAGGGGATGAGGCTCTGACTCCACCTGCAGAGGTGGAAAAGCTGCTGCTTGGTCTCATCCCACTGCCCAGCAAGGGCAGCTAGCTTTCTGCAGGACAGGGGAACAAAGGGATGACTTGCAGGAAACACTGTGAGCCATTGTCCTGCAGCATGACTGGGAGCTGGGAGCAGAATGCAACGTGTGGCTGTGTGGGTACTGCTCTATAAGAACATATTTGGGTTGGATATGTTGGGTATCAGGAAAGATTTCTTCTCAGAAAGAGCGGTTGGGTGCTGACTCAGGCTGCCCAGGGAGGTGGTGGAGTCACCATCCCCAGAGTTCATCAACAACTGTGGAGATGCGGCACTTTGGAGACGTGGTTGGGGCTGGATTTGGTGATGTTAGAGGTCTTTTCCAACCTCCGTGATTCTATGATTTCTGCGCTGACATCTGCATCCTACAGACAGCAGGGAGCCCTGTGATGCTGTGCTGGGGCAGGAGCTCCTTTTCTTACCCCTAGGAGCACAGGAGGTTTGATGCATGTTCACCTCCTCTCCTCTCGCATCTAGATCAAAAGACCTCGGAGAGCAAAGGCATCATCATCGTGGCCATCATCGTCTGCATCCTCGTGGTGGCCGTGCTGGGCTCCATCATTTACTTCCTTCACAAGAAAGGCAAGATCTCATGTGGCCGCAGCGGCAAACAGGACATGTAAGCACCGCCGCCCTCGGGGCAGAGCCGCTTTGCCATCACCGCCGCTTCCCATCCCATCCCACCTCACCCTGCCCAGCACGGCAGTCTGGGCCGCTTCCAGCTTCCAGCGGTGAGGAAGGAGCAGAGCTTTAGAGCAGCCAAACATCCCCAGGGAAGGGCCGTACAGCCCAGGGCTTTCCCCCAGCTGGAGCTTTGTCCCCAGCTGTCCCCTGCCCCATGGCGTCCCCCGAGGCGGAGCCCGGGGGCTCGGTTGGCCTCTCTTCCCCCCGGCCACGTGCCCTTGGCTATGGCAAAGATGTCTCAAAATTGTCACCTCCCTCCCCTAGCACAAAGCCAGAGGCACGTAAAGACAAGAATGTAGTTGAAGTTAAGTCAGATAAACTTTCCGAAGAGGCGGGGCTCCTGCAGGGTGCCAACGGCGAGAAGAGGTCGGCTGCTGACCAGGTAGGACCGAGCATCGTGCGCTGGGGCCAGGGTTGTGCTGCAGCTGGGCAGCAGCCAGAGGTGCTCCAGGTAACGCTTTCCTCCTCTCGCAGCTCTCCCCACCCTGCATGGGCCTCCATCATCCATCAGCAGCGCACGAGGAGGGGCTGGGAGGGAGGGGAAGGGGTGGATGTGCTGCTGCGAGGATATGCAGGGCAGCTCTGCTCTGCGCCAAGCTTGGCACCTTGGGGAACAGCTGCCTGGCTGTGTTCCGTGCTGGCTTCTCCTGGGGTTGCCCCAGGAGCATTGGGGGGAAGCAGCTGCACCATCAGCCCTGGCAGAACTCAGCCTAGTGCAGGCTGAGATGGCAATCCAGGGCTGAGAGCCCCCCCGGGGGGCTGCAGGAGCTGTTCTGAGTGCCTGTGCCAGGCAGTCACCGTCACCAGGGCCGGGCTCTGTGTGCTCATCATGGGATGCAGCACTGAGCGGGCTGCCTTAGATTAGAATGGCCCCAGCCCCCCCTCCTGCTGCCAGCACAGCTCACTGCTCCCTGCCCCGTGCCCTGGGATGGTGCACACTCCTGTTCTTACCCCCCGCCTGTTCTGTTTTGTTTACTAACTGCTTTCCTCTCCCCCCGCTTTTCTCTTTCTGTTGGCCTGAAGAGCGAGAAATACATCGATCTGAGAAACTAAGAGAGGGCGATCTCCGAAGTGCTTTCTTCCTTCGATCCTTTCCTGCTCTTGGACGGCCTTATCCCACCCTGCCCCACACCTGGGGGGCACAGCCAGAGGCAGCGACCCCCCCTGACAGCTCACAGCGGGCTGGCGGGTTGTCGGCTCAGCAGCAGCCTTCGCTTACTGCTACAGAGAAGCCAACAGCAATACTCACACCCCACTCGGCTACCTACCTGATGGAAGGGTTGGAGGCTTTCCTTGTTTCTTTTTCTCGACGTTTTTGTTTTGTTTTGGATTTGTTTTTAATGGAAACCTGTTCTGTAAGTGTGTGAGGAGGTTTGGATGAGTTTTACCCCAAAACTTGGCTCGGAAAAGCTGAGGGGAGGTCGCTTTGCCAGCAGGATGCCCCAGGCAGCATAGAGGCACGGGGGTGTGCAGCTGGGAGGGGAAGGGCTCTGGTAGGGGATGGGGGAAGGCTGTGCGAGCCCTTAATGCAGGGCAGGGCTTTGCTCTCAGACAGGTGCCTGAGCTCTGAGCTGCCCAGGATTTGGGCTTCGCTGAGCAGGGGAGGGAGGTGGGATTGCTGCAGGATGCGGCTGCTGGCGGCGCTGGGCTGAGCCTGGGTGTGAACCGAAGGAATGCGAGGTCAGCGCCAGGCAGCGACGGCTCAGGGTTGGATTTTTTTGTCCTTTTTTTTTTCTTCATTTCATCATCTTTCCTTTTTCTTTTTTTCTCCCTCTCTCCTCCCCCTGTCCCCCCTCTTTTTTCTATTTCATCCCCCTCTCCCCCTCTCCCCTTTCCTCCTCTCCCTCTCTCCCCCTCTCTCCTTCCCTTTTTTTTCCCCCTCTTTCTTTTCTCTTTTTCTCTCCTTTCCTTTCCCTTCCTCCCTTTTTACCCCTTCCTTCTTCCTCTCCTGCCCTTCTTTTTCACTCTTTGCCTATCATGCATCAGCCCCAGGGAAAACTCCTTCATTACTTTCTCCCCTCCTCGGTCCCACAGGAGGGATCAGGACAAGCAAAGGCGGGGCCCGGGGGGGGGGGGGGGCGGGGGGGGGGGGCCCGGCCCAACCCAGCTCCCCTCTGCCCCCCCTGCGCTGCAGCAGGACCTCAGGTCACCAGGAGGAGGGACAGATTTCCCCCCCCCCCCACCTCCGGAGCTGTAATCGTGAGCTGCAAAGTGTTGTCCAAACAGAAGCTTTGGTTTATATATATTTTTGTTGGATGGTGTGTACATTTCCAGAAGTTTTTTTGTCTGATATTTGCGAGGTTTTTTTTATATATGTGAAAATAAAGTACCGAGTTCAAAGCTTGGTTGCTGGCTTTGTTCCTGGGGGTGGTGATGCTCTGCTTCTTTCCGTGGGGTTCCCAGTGCTGGGAATGGCTGAGATCCCATTATTTCTGGCCCCTGTAGATACTAATAACTATTACTAATTAATAAGTAACAGTTTTATTAGAGACCAGCAAATTGTAACCTGATTGGCTTCGCAGGAGCCCAATGGAACCGTGAGCATCTCCTTGGGCCTGAGTTACACAGTGGGAACCAAACCCCAGTGTCTGTTAGACCAGAATTAACCCACGTGGACAATTCAAGCCACTTATTTCATGTCCAGTTGACCCTCTGTGTCCTCATTTGACCTCTGTGACCTCATTTGACCCCAATTAACCTCATTTGACCTTTAGGACCACTTATTTTCCTTGAGTTGACCTCGCTTGACCTCTGTGTCCTCATGTGACCTCTGTGACCTCATTTGACCTTTAGGATCACTTATTTTCTGTGATTTCACCTCATCTGACCTCACCTGACCTCTGTGACCTCGTTTGACCCCAGTTAACCTCATTTGACCTTTAGGACCACTTATTTTTCCGTGATTTGACCTTGTTTGACCTCTGTGTCCTCGTTCAACCCCAATTACCCTCTTTTGCCCCTTTCTGCCCACTTATTTCCTGTGACTTGACCCCACGTGAGCTCATGTGAGCCCTGTGTCTTCATCTGGTCACCTTCATTTGGCCACATGGCAACAGGCCCTTTGCCCATCAGTGCATCACAGTGTAGCAGAGACCAGGCAACTCTTCCCAACCCTGTTGGACCCCACAGTCCCTCATGCTTCCATCTAAGCCCACCACACACAAATCAGGGCAGGCAGTGTTTGAGGAGCTTCTCTGCCCACCAGTGGCTCACAGGCCCAGCAGGGTTCATTGGGCACAGCCTCACCAAGTGCATTCATTCGGCCTCAGGAGAGCCCTAGATGTGCTGTACTGTGCATGCATACACATCACCTTCAGTTCTTCTCATCCCTCCATCCAATCTTCTGCATTTCCCAGCTGTGTAGGAGACATAAAAACGAGATGTGGTAACTGTAAGAAGAGATCAATGCCTGCTGCGACAGAGCAGTGGAATCTGTGAGAGGCAGACGGGCTCCACAGAGTGGACTGATGCTTCAGCACCTCCCAGACCCCAACCAGCACTGCAGAGCCCTTCTGTACTCCTTTCATAGGAACAAACCTGTTGCTGGGACTCTCAGACTCACAGCTCCTTATGGGTTCTGCAACCTGTTCATTGGGATCAGTACGACACCACGTGCTCTGTAAGCACTGATCAGCATTAACTCCCCAGCCCAGGCTTGGGGCCTCTGATCAGGCAGACTCCAGCTGCATGTTCCCCCCTCACAGAACCAACACAACGCAGCCCATCTGCTACAACAAAGGAAATTTTATTTAAAAATAAAACTTTGTTTCGTTTCCTTTTCTTTTTTTTCTTTTTTACTGACACAGGTGAACGAAATCCCAAAGAAGCTCTTAGTGGGCAGCACACGAGAATGGAAACAATTAATAAATAACATTAGTATAACCTCTAAACATTAACAATGCATTTGCAAACAAAATGAGGACTTTAAACCAAGTGAACCTTAAAGCTCAGCTACTCTCTGTAAGAATATTTACCTTCTGTTTTTCCTTATTCTTTACAGATCTGAAAGGATTAAATACTGCTATTATATTTTATATTAATGACACTATTATACTTCTTTTTAAAATATTTTTTTTTTCGTGAAAATCTCAACATTTTTTAACACTGATATTATACAAATGGGTATTTGCCATTCAAGAGAAACAACAACCGTTCCTCCCCCAGCGGGAGCTTCAAAGAAAGAAAACAAGCTTTCTAGGAGGAACTTTAAGGATAAGCTTCCTTATTTCCCCTCTGAATTCCAATGTGGCACCTTGAAAGAAGTGCCCAGGGAGTTGCATTTGTAATTGCTCAACTGGAAAACAAACAGACGAATCAAGAAGCAAACAAAAACCAGGTACAGCAAACGACCCTGCCTCAGGATGAGCTGCAGCAACGCAGGGAGCAGCAGGCTGCTCTCCCGGGGAAGGGCTCAGCAAAGGGTGAGCAGCAAAGGCCTTCTGCACAAAGCAGGGCTGCTGGGAGGCTGCGAGCCTAAACCTGCATGTGGTGCAGGGACTTGCAGGGCAGGGCAGTGCAGCAGACGAGCTCCAGCACACTCCTGCCAGGATCTGTCTCCCTGCAGAGCCCCGTTCAGCTGTGGTGGCATCCAACTCACCAAGTCTGCAGGGCAGGCGGACGACGCGTGCTGCCTTCCTGCTGCTCCCACACGCTCTGTGCCCCAGCCCTCACTGCACAAAGGGTTTTCTGCTTGCTTTGTGTCCTGCCTTGGCAGGTGGGGTGGGGGGAAAAACAGTATTTGTTATGTGAGCAGAACTCGTATTTTGTTACAAGCAAAACTGATCTTGTTGCTACAACTCTACCACCTTCACGCTGAGCTCGGCGCAGCACCAAGTCACTGTTAGTAACAGGTAGAGCAGGAAACCTCCACAGCTGAAATGCTACACAACACAGTGTTGGAAGTGACAACTGCCCTCCTTTTCACACCTTTCAAAGTGATCTCAAAGGCTCTTTCTTTCCACAGAGGGATACCCAGCCCAGTGACACAGCATTCCCTTAAGAAAGGCGCGAGACATTTGGGTTTCTCTTGCTCAAGTAGCATCACAAAGTGATAGGATAAAGGCTCTCAAGGATAAAGAACAAGGAGGTGAAGGGAAAGAAAGAGAAAATAGCATCAGGCTCACCTTTCTGAAAGAAAAACAGTAAGAAAAATACACTGTACAGAGCCTGGGTGGACTTCACAGAGCACAGCCATAAAACACAGGCAGGACTCTGCTGCACGTCAGTGGTGCCAGCAAACGCTTACACATCTAAGGAAGAAAAGCCAAGGCTTAAGTTTCTTAACTCAGTCAGAGACACAAACAGTGCACAGAAAGGACACATGCAGAAAAATCAGTGATACATGCCACAGAGATTGCTCTCTCTAACCTCTAATACCTGGAACAACATCCGCAGGAACGTCCCCTGGCACACAGCCCCAGAGACAGGCCTGCATAAAGCTCTGCTAGGTGTGGGTTGTTCAGCATCACGGCCAGCCTGGAACCAAGGGCTAGCAGGGGATGGGGCATCACTGCTCCAGTGGCACATGCTGTGCAAGACAAGAGTTAAGGCTTTCCAGCAAGGTTGCACTCAGCTCCTTGCAGCCCTGGCAGCAGCTGCTCTGCCTTGCATGCTGCAGCTTCACGCCACACTTGAGCACACTTAGGCTGAGTTTACACAGCAAGGCAGAACTGAAGTGGCTCCAACACCAACACGGAGTGAGTGGCAGCACTGGAGAGGAGGGAAATAAAGAGCAGTGCTCCCTCGCAACACGTTTTTTATGTGGGTCTCCAGGGCAAAGCCAGAAAATAACTCCCAAGCACCAGGGCTGGATGGTCAGGCTCACAACTGCAACGTGCAGATGGGCAGCGAGAGCACGCAGGGCTGCCCAGGTACCTGCTGAGCAGGGCTGGTGCTGGGCTCGCTTCCCAAGAATCTGCTGCAGCCACAAGAACTGCAGGGCATCACTGAGCACAGGGAGAGCAGGGCTGGGTCAGGGCTCCGCTGCCTGCTGCACCTGCGGGCACAGGAGAGGGAACAGCCCTGCTTCCCCGAGCACAGCACGAACAGACATGGCCCCCTCTGCCAGGCCAGACCCTGCTCTTGGCTGCCTGACCTCCCTGCAGCACTGCAGAGCTCACTGCTGGCTGACAGCAATCTCAGCAGCGTGCTGCATTTGCAATTTCAGCCCCGGCTCCAAAATAGCAACAGCAGTGATGGCATTAAGCATTGCACTTAAGAGATCTCCTTACAGCTTCAGAGAAATACAGCAAGGAGGGGAGTTAGGAGAGACTGCTCATGCTTTTAAACTGCCTGGACCCCGCATTATCAATTTACAAAGCTGCAGATTTAGAGAAATACCAATACTCCACACAGAACAAACATTTGATGCTTAGTTTCCTATGCTAACATTAGTGAAGTCCCCTCTGCAAACAGCAAGCTGCTTCGCTCCGATCTGCAAGCAGCAACCAGATCCTTCAAAAGCTTCAACTGCATCCAACAGCCACCAGCACTCCAGCAATATTTCACGTTGTAACCCTTTGCCCAGTGACTGCTGCTGCCCTCCCAGTGATGCAAGTAATGCAGGACATGCTGTGCAAGGCGAGCAGCCCCTCGGTGTGCACACAGCACCGTTCATGTGTGACCTGCAGATCCTGCTCCATTTAAATCCCCTCCAGAGGAACTATGCTTCTCACACAGCAGGCATATTATGCACAGAGTTAAGGAGCTGAGTATGCAAGTCAGGTTTTTGCACAGTAACTGCCCGAGTACTGACTTGTAAAGCCCAGTGTGATTGTTTTACAAATGCAGAGGTTTCCCAGATCTGCTTCAACACAAGCTCTGGCAATTCCTTGGAGTAAGGGCAGTGCAAAGAAGAGCCCCTGTGTTGTTCTGATAGCCATGCAGAGAACCGCTGCGCTTACTGTACTGCAAAGCAGGTAAGATACCAACAAATACATCAGCTGCATCTACCAATCCCACAAAACAGCCTGGCACAAAGACAACTGGCTCCCAAGGAAGCTGTCTGAAGGAGACGATGGAATGTGCGTGAAGGCCACTGGTCTGCAACAGCCACCATGCAGTTAAGATAAATAAAACATCATTCCCAGGTGCAACATTCCTAGAGAAAGAGCACCCAGTGGTGCTGCTCGAGCCCAGCAGGGCTGCAATCAAGCTGGAGCACCGAAAGCACAAAAGGCTCAAGGCTACAAAAGGAGCAGCACAGGCAGTTCTCTGCTCTCAGCTCAGCTTCTTCCCACCTCTCCAAAACATGCAGAACTCTCAGCACACCTTGCTCCCTGGAATCTGGTGCTGCCAGCACAGCTGGCATGAGGACACTTACGACAGAAATCCAACTCCAAGATCCAAAATGCCTGGCAGATGCTGGTCAGGCTATCTCCAAGCAGAAAAGGACAACTCAAATCATAAGCAATAGATGCTACTGTTACAGGTAAGAGGGAAACGCCGTGGCAAACAGGAAGCAATCAGGCGATTTCTTCCAAGGTCTCCTATTAATTCCCAGCAGAAAGTGACCTCTCAACTGCTCTAAAAAGCCTGAGCCAGATACACAGCAGCGAACAGGTCCAAACCTAAGTACCATGAACCACAGGACACACCACACCGACCCGGAGACTTTGTTTCTCAGAGCACTCACTTAGAATTCACAGCACAACACACTCCCCCCAGCCTCCAGGGCATCAGCTCCGGGATCCCTCAGTACGAAACCTTCCTCTACTGACACCCTGGAAATAAATCTGTTCTCTCAAACAAGAGGTAGGGGTAAAGGACTCCAAGACACACACTGTATAAAACACCACTCCGCTCCATTCCTTTTCACTGCTTTGAAATCTGGAACCACAAAAACCTGATAACTGATTCTCTTAAGAGGCAGGGCTGACCTCCGCACGAAGTCTCTAAAGGAACCCCCTTCCCCTTTGGTGAGTAGCTGGGCTACGGCTGCCCAGGCAGCTGGTCCACAGAAGCTCTAGGTGTGGAGGTGATGTGCTATGTGGCCACGTGTGCAGGGGAGGAAATGGAAACAAACTCACGGAGAATATTCTTGGCCATTTCAATATTGTTATGTGCAATGACCAGAGCTTTCTGAATGTCCTGATATGAGTAGCCTTGGCTCATGAGGTTCTCAATCTCGCTGGAGAGCTGCAGCGATGCCCCGGTGCTGCTGCTGGCTGCTCCTGGCTGGCAGCTCCCTGCTTTGCGCTCAGAATTGATTCTCCGTGGCAGCGGCTTCGGAGGCCTTTCTGGAACTTGAGAGCCATCCGAAAAACCTGGAAGGGGAAACAAAGGAGTCAGTTTGGGAAAGGGCACGTGACTCTTGCTTGGAACACAGAATGACGTCAGGCTGGTAAGTGGCACTTAAACATGGCACTGGTGCTGCTCTCTCCACTCAGCCCATCGACCCACTCAGCGTCACAGATCAGATCAGCTTCCCTCGCTGTACGCAAAGGCAGCCACGGGGATTCATCATTTGGTGGGCACATCAGGCTCATTTATTAAACTAAAACTAAAGAAAAATTTGGCCGGGGGGGGGGCATGCATCCATGTAAGCAGAGCTCAGGCATCAGACTTGGTGTGAGACAGAGTGCTGCTGTGATAAAACAGCACAGGGAATCCACAACAGACTGCACCAAACCTACTTTGCAAATGAAACCTACTTTGCAAATGATGAATACTTGACATCACCTTAAAGAATGCTGTATTCACCTTCCTCGAGGTGCTCAGCATGGAGTTCTCTAACAGCTGAACTTGCACACAGCACACAAACCTGGAAGGCTAAGAACGCTCACACAATCCCTCTTTAGGAGTGGGCAGTTTGCTGCTTAGGGATGAAGCAGCCATTGTGGAGCTTTTCTAAAAGACTTCTACCAAAAGCACGACGACAGAGGAAACAAATCCACTGAGGCTTCCTCACCAACCACAACGCAGGTCATCTCCATGATCCTCAGAGCACAAGCTTCTTACTCATGAAAAGCTTTTTGTACGTTGGAGAGAAAGGACTACCCTCTCCTCTCCCCCAAACTGTCTTTTGAAATAGCTGTTTCAGCTTGAGCTGGTTCAAATTTCAGACACCACGGGTCAATTTCAAAGGGTGACAACCAGCTCAGCTTTTTTGGTAAATGATTAAGAAACTAAATTGTAGAGCACAAAGCATGAGAACATCAATCTGCCAAAATGTATCCCATAGAAGTCAGGCTTGCTTAGCACCAGGCTTCAGCAGCAGCCAATACCCAACTTTTCAGACAAGGGCAGATGCTTCCCAGAGCACTAACATCAGCGTTTGTCATGCGCAGATCTCCTACCACTACAAAGCAGAACAGCAGCACTATCATTTCAGGGTTGTATAAACAAGGAAGGGTCAATGATTAAGCTCAGTTGTTCATCTGGGAGCAGCATGTGAGCTTCCATTGCACTTCTTCTCCCTGCCAGCCATATTCTACAGACACAGTGACAAAGGCAGGGAGCAGGGAGGAGTGGCAGCAGCTAAACATTTATTCTGAACTAATAAACTCTTCTCTGAGCCGAAGAGAAAGCTCCAAAAAAGGGAGCTCGTGAAGCAGGTGAATAGAAAACGCACTGAGACAAGCAGCCTTGGGTATGGGAGGCTCAAGGAACAAGAAACTCGTTCCTCTCACTTGGCAGATGGCCAGAGTTCAGACGTGCTGAAGCCCAGAGCACCCAACAGGAAGTTTCAGAGCTTCCTTTTGCGCTGCAGGGCAGTCGTAGGGAAGAAGCCAAGCATTATTCACAAATGCTCTTGGACACACGAGGCTTTGGTTTCCCCTTGGTGAACGTGTCTCACAGCCACAAGGACAAGATGTCCCCTGCTTTTTCTTTGGGGACAAAAAGCTGACCTTGCCGAGCCACTGCCTGCTCGCTTAAAGACACTGAGAGCATCGAGCAGCACACTTGTGCCATCTGCTGGCAACCACCCCCTTGGAGCCAGGCAGAAGCCAGGCCAGCCATCCAATCTGCTGCCTGAACAGCTAGAAGTAATGCTCTGAAGTTCTGCTTCATGTCCTAGTACGAAATAGATGCCATGTCCTGTAGGACAGAGTGGCTTCAGGATTTCCCTCAAGCCGAGAAAAGGTTTTGCTAACTGAGATTGAATCATGATTTGCTAGCTCAGTGATTTAAATGAGTCAGGAAGAGCATTTCGAGTCGTAAACCAAACTGAACAATCAAGGTCCAGTGTAATTCTGCTTCGTTACGCTGATTTTACAGCCTGCACACAAAGCCTTGAGTCAGTGACAGACATTTCAAGCGCACCAAGCCATCAGTACCCACAAGAACATCCAGAATACAGCTGTTCTCTAACCTGTCACTGGGTCATTTTCCAAAGACATTCGGCTGAAGGCAGGTGTGGCATTGGAGATATCAGACAGTGTGCGACGAGCAATGGCAACTGGCAGTGGTGGCTTGGGGATATCGTAGCCATCCTCTTCATTTTCTGACTCCTCAGGGCCGTTGCTGGCAGTGGCTGCTGCCAGATCCCCTTCATCTGGAACAAGAGAGGCAGTCTGAGCTCTGGGGCCAAGCAGAGCCTCTGGCTCTCAAGGCAGACTCTGTTCCCGTGTCCGCAAACACTGACAGGACGCAGAACTCAGGCTCTGCTGCCAAGAACCCATATTCAATGGGAGCTCTTTCCAGAAGGTAATACACGATGAAAAATGTTTACCATACATGTGGGCTGTCAACTGCTGCAGCTGCCTACAGCAACTGAGCCCAGAAAACAAGGTCTTCAAAACAGCAATTCTGTTTAACAACTGCTGGATGTTTTTACAGTACATTCCAGCTATGCTTCTCACTAACATCTCCACACACAATTTGCAGTGCACAGATACAAATGCTTCCAACATCACGGCTATTTTAACAGCAAAAGCACGTAACATTTAGCACAAAGAGCTAAATGCTGTTCCAGCTGGTACTGGGGTCAATTCATTGCATCCCAGCAGTTTGGTTTTGGTGGGGTTTTTCTTAGCACACCCACTCACCAGAAGTGTTGATGGTCTCAAAAGCAGAGGGCACTGCTTGGGAGTGAATGTTGTACATTGCTTCATACATACAGCCATCCGCCTGCCGGTCGCACTCCAGAACTCTGGGGGAGAGAAAACACATTCTGCAAAAGAGCAGCAGCCACATTTCATTTCCAGTTCGCTGTGCTATTCTCTATCTGGTGAATGTCACCAGGGAAAGTCAGCTAACAGAGAAGGCAAAACCTCCACCCTGCTAAACAAATACCCCAGAGCAGCGAGGAGGAAGGACAGCACGTGCAAAAAGAATCTCACCGCAAACTCTGAGTCATTTCCAAAGGCATTTTGATCTCTGGTTTTTGTACAGCAGGACCCGGAGGCACCACTGGCAGAGAGGAGGGTGACATGTATTCAGTGTCTTCATCGCTCTCAGACTGTTCCCCAGGAGGCAGTTTTGGTACAGGCAGTGGTCTGGAGGCAGAATAAACAAGATATAAACACCAGAGAAAAAACCAAACCAACATTTACACTAAACCCAATTAACATCAACGCGTCCTTTCAAAGCCAGAGCTGAAGGAACAAGCAGTCACGTTACATTAACACTGTCTAGAGAAATAATCTGGCTTTTGGTAATTCTCAGCAGCCCAGCTGCAAAGTCACTCTGACACAAGGTCATTAAGCAAAAAGCAGTTGACAGCACATCGTACATCACCTGCTTTGCAATGTGCATTTAAAAAGGCCAACTCAGAAGGGAATTTATGAGAGAGCAACCGTAGCCTGTTTCCTACTGCCACAGCCAAAGGCAACCACTCAGCCACAAACCTCTGGATGCTGATTTCATCTCCTTTGTCTAGGTTGTGTGTTTTGAATAGTCCATCTTCGCAGACTGAATCTAAGGCTGGACAGAGCTGTGTCTCTGCCTCTGCCACCAGCATGCAGAGAGACCTACAATTACCTTTCTGTAATCTATGAAAGAACGTGGTTTGCAAGAAAACAGCATACCTGGCAGCTAAGGAGTAGATAGCATTGGCAGATGAGGAGGGTTTAATTTTGGGATGCTCACATTCTGAGGTTGCCGGTGGACCCGTGTTCAAGCTCTGAAAGAAAAAATGCCAAGCCAGGAATTAGAAATGCCAGGTCTACCAGTGCAGCTGCAAAACTGCCAGCCAGCCACCCAACGTGCCCTCCTGGGGAATAAAACACCCCCATTTATCCAAAAGCATTTACTGACACTTCAGAAATTCAGCAGTTCTGTGTTAGTTTTCCCTTCCTGAGAAGCACAGGCAGAGTTTTTCTCCTCTAGCCAACTGCCTGTTTACACAAGAACCAAAGGAACTCTTATCTTTGAGACTCCAATGACTCTGTCAAACTCAAATTGGCCCAAAGGCCAAAATGTTAATAAGGGAAAAGAGGAAAAGGATGTAGAGAAGCATATACACACAGAGACAGAATCACAGATCACAGAATCACCAAGGTTGGAAAAGACCTCCATGATCATCTAGTCCAATCGAGTGCAACAGAGTGACAGCTGCACTGGTGTCAGCTTCTTAGCCAACATGGCTAAAAATGTATTTGTTTCAGTTCCTATTTTTCAAGAAAGCTGGAGATTTTTAAAGGAAAAAGTAGGCAAATGGAATCAAAGGAAGCCAAACTGCTTCAGGTTTCTCTTAGAGCGCAGTATGTTGGACCACCAAGTTCTAGATCATGACATTATTAATAGTAGCAGACCCAAATTTAACTCCGATTTTACTTTGTTAATCATTGCTACTGTGTGCAGGTTTTACAGGACTGAAATCTGACGTGTGTGAACTGCACTTTTTCAGCAGACCAGCTCCTAAAGGAAAACAGCCTCTGTTTTTCAAAATCCAAAGGTGAACAGGAATCGTGAAATTGTGGCTCACGACTGCTCAGAGGTGACTGCAGGACACGCTGAGACTTCAGCCCTGCTCCCAAGAGGCAGGAAAGCACATCCCTAAGAAGTCCTCTGGTTGCTCTCTCTTGCCTGGCAATCACCAGCTCCCTTCTGCCTCTCCCTTGGCACAAGAACGCCCTGTTCTGATGCAAATGAGAAAAGGGCACCTTGGCTGACTCAGTTCCCCACAGTCTGCCTTCACCTCCACTAGATCCACTCACCACTGGGTTGTCCAGGCTGAGCGTGCTCCCAAGCCGATGGCTTTCAGGTCTGGAATCCATTTGAGAGGGCAAGGAGAAAGGAAGCGAGTGCCTGTTTGACAGTTCTCTCCCAGGCCAATGGTCAGCGGGGCTGTGAGCCACAGATGGGGCTTTTGGAATGGGTCGGGAGGGCCAAGGATCCCCCTGACGGTTGGAGGGCACAGGGGGTGGTTTGTCCCTTGCAGGGCAGTCTGCTGGGGTGCAGGGCAGGGGCCTCCTCTGCGGCCGAGCGTCGGTGCCGATGGAATGCGGTCTGTCTGGAGGTGGTGGTGGAGGGAGATCTCGGAGCGTGGGTGGGATGGGCAGAGGCTTGTCTTTGTGAAGGGTACCAGGAACAGCCTGGAAGGCAGAGGAATGTAAAAACATCGCTGAGCAAAGGTAGTTCTGATACGAAACAGAAAAAGGTGGGCAGAAGGTTTGGGTTTGTTTCTTTTCTACGAGAGGTTATCTCAACGGATAAGGAATAATGCCAAGTGAACCCTCCAGAAACACTTCTCTACAAGCTTGAGAACACAGTATAACTGCATGCAGCTACAACAGCTAGGCACTGAACACACCAGTCATCTTTCTTGCAGGAAAAAACACTCTCAAGGCAGCCCTGGATTGGATTCCAAACAAAGGACACCCATCGTTTCAAAAAAACTTCAGCTGCAGCTTATTTACAGTTGCCATTCATCAGTCAGCAAGTCACATAAATGCTTATGTTTTTTCCGTCTGGACTTTCAACTCGATCACCCAAACCAGCTGAAGAGCTGCTGCTGTATCTCAGCAGCCAACAAATGAATGAATACCACCAAGATCACACTGCTGCCTTCTGCTCATCTATCATAGAACAGCTGATCTCTCCCAGTCACACACATTTCATTCCATTCTTACTTCTCTATCAGTGGAAAAGTTTGGAAGAGAAGAAAAACTGGGACAGGCTTGTGACACCTTTCCACATCTAGCCACTAGCTAGAGCAAGACACAACTGCAGCTTCCAGGGCCACAGGCAGCAGTGATTGGAGGCTGATCAGTAAAGGCAATAATCATCACTTGGTCGTTCACCCAAAGTGATCGAGCACTTCAGGTTAGGATAATCTTCCTTCTATCAACTGTTTGGATGAGTGAGATAGGAAATAGAGACTCTCCAGCAATGAACTCCAGAAGGAAGCATTCACCTTCAGCACAGACTAAGCTCTTGTGGGGAACTAGGAGGAAAGTGGCCTGACAGAAAGAATACAAAGCCTGGTGTGAAAGCACTTAGGGACGGCAGTCAGCAAAATGCTTTCCTTCCCATCTGCCCTACCAAAATTACACCTGAAAGGGCAAGAAGTGTGCTTTACCTTTGAAGAAGTGCTGGGGCTGGAAGCCCCAGGTGGATTGGACACTCGCTGCTGCAGAAGATCCAGTCGTGGTGGCACAGGAGGAAGGGTGGCCTGTGGAGCTACTGAGAACGGGGAAGGAGGACGCTCGACCTGAAAGAGAAGACAGGGAAAATCAACAACAAAATCCAGCAGAACTGTTTTCTAGAGAGGCTTTCAAGCTCTGTGACTTTTATTGGCTTTGGTAATAGATGACTATAATAACAACAACCATACACTAGCAAATTAAGGTAATTTCACAGCACAACAGCATCTGACTTACAGCAAACAACCACAAATGCATGCTTAGCAGGGGCACAATAAAACACAAGCTGTTTTGCTGGAGTGCCAAACCCTCCTTGCTGAGCACTGAGCAGCAGCAAGCTTGCTTGCTTTTCAACACAAGAGGGCACATCTGCTGCAAAACCTCCTTATCACTGCAGGCACTGCTGTGCAAGCTGCCTCAACTACAGCGTCGTGGCTGTTGCAGCAATCATTAATGTGCACCAAAACGTCCATTTTTGTCCCTGCAAAGCTGTTTTTTTTTTTACCTAACAGAACAGTGCCTCTTCTCCTCTTTTTAAAAAATGTTTATTTTGTGAGAAAGGTTAGTGCTTGGTAACTGCAAATCTTTATACATGTTTGAACTCACTAATGCTAACAAATGTGGAATACTGGCCTGCTGCAAACCGCAACAGGATGTCACATCAAGGAAACTCTGCTTTGCTTCCCCAACCTATGTATACAAAAACAATCTCCAGGAATACAGTTTACAGAATTTCACAGGGTAGAGGCTGAAGAGAAATGTGACCATAGGTTAACATTGTAGAGCAGGAAAAGCAGCTTATTTTAATGGGTCCGACTATGGAGAATTAGCCAAATTCAAAACCACCTTCCAAAGAAGCAAAACAGTGCTTCAAAACTGTAGATGTGCAGGAGCAGCAATATGCACTGAGAAAAGAATGTTCAGAGACCCATGAAGTATCCCTGCCCTGCACACAGATCCTGGAAGGAAGGCGCACTAATGGCAGGGAGCTATCAGACCTTTATTGCACAGTTTTATCAGACACCATATAAAAAGATGACAGTCAAATTGTCTTCCTCAGCAAAACAGCCTTGCCCTCTAACCTGTTAGTCACCATGACCTTGGGAAGACTGTGACTGGTTGGCTGCAGTGATCACTGAACAAAACAGACAAACTTTTGCTGATATGAGTGAACCAACGCACACCGAGGCGACCTTACTTTGGTACCAGCGAGTTCTTTCATCATGAAGAGGGAATCATCAGCTCTGTCATCGTCATCATCATCGTAGTTGGGTGAGGGAGTCCCTTCTGCACCTTGCCGTGACAATCCTCCTCCTCCTCTGGGGTCGAATGGATCTACAACAATTGGCTCCGTGCCTTTGATTTCACAGCGGCAAAAAGGACAACCCTGGCCCTCTGATTCCTTCAGGGCAGAGGAGAGATCTGTTACAACCACCATTAAGATGCAGGGATTAAATACACGGTTAATATACAGGCAGGTTGAAACCTGCTTTTTGGCAGGTACAGAGAGGATGAGAGAAGAGCAAACTGTGCTAGGAATATGGAGGATTTTCTCTCTGGAGTAGAAAAACAACTTTTTAGCAAGTCCTTGCACTTCTTGGCCATATACTGAGATAGAGCATCTGAGCAGCTCCTCCCTGGGCAAGAGAAGCTAGCACTGACATTTCTGAACTACGAGCTCATGTTCCCTCATCTCCATACCTGAAGGAAACAGAACAGGAGGACAGGAAACAGCGTTTCTGTAGGAAAGCAATTAGTCTCACCCAGGGAGACAAACAAGAGGCAACGCCTCACCTGCCATGCAGTGAGACAGGATGTGCACATCAGATGGCCACATGGTTCAATCTTCACATCCTTGTCGTTTTCAGCACATATTTTACACAGCTGGAACGTGGAGCCCATCTCACAGTACAGTTCGTATTGTTCCTTGGAGAAAAGATGGACAGATGTTGTGGATACTGTAAAACAACCTGCAGGATTTATCTCAGCTACAAGAAATCCAAGACAAAATGGGCACAATAGAAACAGAAGAAAGTGGACTTCAGGTTTTCCCAGATTTTCATTCAGGTGTCTCAAGAGTGGGAATGGAGGGTTTGAGGGTAGATAACACAGAAGAATCAATCTGTTGCAGAACATTCTAAACAAGTAATTTAAAGTCTGTGAGCAGAAAGCTTTGCAATCTCTCTGCCCAGCCCTAGCTTTCATTGACTTCTGCAACTCCTTCAAGATACAATAGAGCAGCCTTAAAAACAAGCCTTTAGGATACTGAGTGTGACAGGGCAGGACAGAAGACTTCACTCACCTGTGTGACTTTAATGTGGTCCTGAGGTGTGGGCTCACACAAGCCAGTCAAGTCAGGGTTCTGATTCCGGCCATCAGGAAATAAATAACTGTAAACAGTTGAGGAAAAATAATATCTCACTCTGTATGTTCATACACACACACATGTACATAAGGTTTCTTTTCAGGGAGGGAGAGGAAAGGAAGAATGAGGGTGAGAACAAAGGGGTGGGAATTCAAGGTACTCTTAATTCAAAAGAAGTTTTGCAAGAATTTCCTTATCAGACAGAAAACAAACATGCCATTCTTTACTGCAGAAAGAAGCTTGTTTTCCTCCCTGGGAGCAATTATACTCTTCTTAAATCATTCCACAGTGAAATTGTAATTATCCAGAGTGAGAAAACCGAGGTCATAGTATCACTTAAGCACAAGTTAGGGAGCCAATTACAAAAGAGTCTGTGATGAGGAAAACACTGACACACACTTATTGTCTGCTCTTGCAAAGGACAATACAGCTCCCAGTACGAACGATAGCTGTCTGAGTATTCTCAAGTGCCAAAGCATACAAATTGTTCCACTGACATCAATTCACTTGCTGGAAGTGTTTTCCTGAATCAAGGTCTAAATAAAAAGGAAGAGCTGAGAGATGTTCAGAAGGGGCTGAGTGATGTCAACAGCGACTGCTTGACCTCTGCAACACGCCGTGTCTCCCAAGAAGAGATGATGTGTGACGAGCCCTGCAGGTGCACTTCACCATTCAGCTGACTTTGTGGCAGCAGGATGAAGGAGTACAACACAAACTCACAGTAAGGAACAGCAGAAGTTACTTACAAGCCTTCCCTGAAGCCGTCAATCAATGCTTGAAAAAGAGGTTTGTTGTGAGGGATGGTCTGAAGAATGTTCCCATCTGCAGTGACATATCCAATGGCCCACTGACCAAGTCGGGTGCAACTCAATCGAAAAATGTAACTGAAAACACAAAGGAAAAGGAACTTCAGTTTGGACTGGAACAGGCAGAAAGCACGAGATGCCAAGTTGGCCTTTGCCTATCTCAAGACAGCAAATAAAAGCTAGTAGGAATGACCGGATGATTTATACCAGGTTTCCTCACTTTACCCCCAGGCAGATCAAAGGAGAACTTTGCAATCTGATACGAAGTGAGAAAAGCATCCAAGCAATGGCCTCCATGTGAAATTAAACACAGGATCCACAGCAAGAAACTTTGGCATCTTCATAATCATTTGCTTCAAATTAATTTCGGGAAAGAATAAAAAAACCATCAGACTACACAAGGTTCCCATTTTTAAAACCTGCACAGAACTAAAAGCATACTAACAACCTCCAGAAGGGAGCACTTGACCCTTCCTCTGCATAAAGAGAAATCTGTCAGCTCTGTTGCACGGGGCCACATTTGACCCAGGACACTGGGCAGCCCAAATTTACTCATTCTACAGATCTCTGTGTCATGCTCATGCCTGAGTGAGCTGCTATGAAACTCGTGCAGGTAAGCCACGACACAGAGGAGAACTGCTGAACCCAGGACAAGCTAGAGCTTTGCATAATTAACAGAGGAGGACAAAGACAAAACCAAACCCATCTCCTCAGCCAGTGCAGTAATCAGCAGTGTTAGAAGTAGCAACCAGAAAGGCCAAGCACCAACCTGCCAGGTTTGTGAATGAATTTCTGAAGCCGGGCTTTCACCTCATCATACGTTAGGAATGCCATATAACCAGGATGAGTCACTGCTAGGCTATTCCAGTTCCTGAGCAAAGAGGACCATGGCTAGAGAAACAACAAAGAAATACATTAACCTAAAAGGCATCAAGACATACAATACTCCTTAATCAAAGGGCTCAGAGCTCCACTTAGAACAGCAGGTCTCTTATCCCGCCATCAATCCCATAGGTGACCAAAAGCCTACGCCCTCCTGCAGCACCTCAGCGTTGGATTTTCTCTGGTCAGCAATAAAGGGCTCAGAAGGGCCTTCATCAAAACTCCTTTAAAAACGAGGCAGAGGTGACTGACATCCCAAAAAGCTCGAGAAGGGCTGCTTCTTCAGAGCAAACGACTCATTCCTGAGACAGGGACAGAGATGGGAACTTGGGAAGATTATGCAGAAACCACGGCCAGCCTGATCCCATCCCTGACTTCCTCACGGCCTCAGGAACGTGACCTCCCTCCTCTGTCATGGTTTCACTGTGTGTAAGAAGCTTGTGACTCGAGCCACCTAACCTCACTCGGGTGTGGCATGGACTTCTGCCCAGTCCAAGATCTGAATCAATGAACCAGCACACACATGTTAGGTTTCCCCCAAGAAGTGATGCGTGACGCCAGACTGAAAACTTTCCGTTCTGAAAAGTGCTGGGACATCTAAATCTCATCCCATTTTCCCAAACTTCTCAACTTACCCAAAATGACACCTCTCCCTAACGACCCTGTATCTCTTGGTACAATACTCTTTTATGTACCATAGCTGGAAAAAGTGCAGGACGAAATCAGATACACTGCAACACCAAACATGGGGATTTTTCATCTAGATGTTTCTTAATTACAACCCACTCTATCACATGGGAAAAAGCAAGCCAGAGCCAAAGAAGTAAGTGTTTGTTCCTGTAAATACCCATTTGCACCATCAAAAGCTGTATTTCAGAGCTCAGAACTATTAAAGACCATGGGCTAGAATTCTACTTGCTATTAATATCCCTTCAGCAACACAAATACTTCTTGCACACAGAGCACAGAACGCGTCTGCAACATCCTGGTTGTGTCAGTTCAAAAGCTAGGAAACCTAAATCTCCATGCTATGATCCATCCTGAACATCCCCCTATGGAAAATAAATCTGACAAGAACGAAATGGATATGAGGAAAGATGGACCGATAAACTGAGCTTCACATTTCCTGAAGCTGTGTCAGAACTTTGGTCTAAAAATGACTTCTGAAAGGGGAAAAACTGATTCATGGGAGGATACAAAATGTGCCTTACATTTGGTTAGAATCTAAATTTAGAAAACTTTTTCTTCTCCAACCAAAAATATCAAATGCTCCTATGTGATTTAACTACCAAGTGTTTTAAGAACTGCTCAGGGGATGAGGGGCAAGAAGACAAAATCCTTTGCAATATAAATACCACTTCAGCGTGCAAAATACGGTTTATCTTTGGAGAAGTGTAAGCTGAAGCACTAAGACAGATTTCAAGTGATTTACAGTCCTGTAAACCAAGTGATTTACACTCACCTGAAAGAGCCGTGTGAAGATATCAAACTCGAACACCGAAATGTAGTCATTGCACGTCAAGTCAATCGTTGACTTCAGGGCCATGGCTTCCAGCCCCGAACTGATGGGATGCACCTCGTGCAGGGCTTGGCGGAAGCTCTTCCAAGGAACAATGGTCCTGGGGGAAAGCAAGCCATCTGAGACTGGATGTGTCCACAGAGCACAACCGCGTGCCTACCGCCTCATACATCTTACCTGTGGAGCGTACGGGTCATCATAATGGAAGAGGGAAAACCAAAAGTGGCCACAAGAGATTGAATCGTGTTGTGTGAGCAAAAGATTCCTTGGTACTGAAGGAAATCAACAGCCAAGCAGGCTTTAGCCAATTTTCCCTGCAAATACATCTGAAGTCCATCTCTGCTTTTTCTGTTCTCTTTTTCTGCTGCCCTGTCATGCCAGCTGCACATATTACAACCATTTAGTAAGAGTTCAACAGCTTTCTAGCTGGCAGAGAAGGAGTTAACAATAAGTAGAGGTGCAGACAGTTAGAAAAAAAAACACACAAAAAAAGCTGCAAGCAATTCTCCAAACAGGCATTAACAGGAGAAGGAAGATAATCAGCAACCCAAACACAGGCTCCTCTTTAAAGGAATATATTCCTTCCTTTAAAATATCAAGTGGAATAGAAACATGAAAAGAATGTGTCTAGCCTCAGACAACTGAATACGTGAGTAAATACACTACAGCCTTCTGTTCTGACAGCTACTAATTAAACTCTTTATGTGAAGCACCTTACTTAAAAGCCGTGCCTAATTCCATTAACTTTAATCCCTACACACTGCTGCGGACGCCTCTGAGGTTCATTTACACAGAGTTTCATTAGACACCAAAATTAAAGCTGACATTTCAACTGTTTACACCTAAATACACGTCGTGCTTAACTTTCTCCTTCATTCTGTCTTATCAAAGCCATTGTGGAAACTGACAAAAGTTCAGAGAATGCAGAAGAAAGGTGTCTTAAGTGATTGAAAAGACTAATTGGAGGGAAGATGAAAGAGTGTAATATGATGGCTTAGTTTGAGGACAGCCAAGATTGGGGGCACAGCAGCTTTGGAAGAAGAAAGGTGATTCTGCATTGTTTGTGGAGCTCACTCAGAAGTGAAGGAACTAAATTAAGGAGAGGAAAATTTAAGCTGAATAATCCAGAGAAACCTTGTGACAGTGCAACAGTCTGCTGGGGAAAGGGGGAAGGACCATCACTTAACACATCTAAAAAAGGACAGGACCAAGAACTGGAAAATATATTCTAAGAACAACCCTGTACCCCACTGGGACAGCGTACCAAAGGACCTAACAGGTCTCTCCCATCACTCACTCCACTGATCAAGCTCAAATTCTGTGCACACTGTGTGGTCACACCTCTGATGTAAAGCACAGCCAGAAACTTACTTCTCCCCAAAGGCTTTCCTCCAAAATTCTGCAGCATCAGCTTTGGTGATCCGGAAAGTGTCTCCTTGGAAAAGGCCACTTGGGAAAATGCCTTTGAGCTCTGCCAGCATGTGGCTGAATATCAGGGACAACTTTGTCAGGTTGCGCCTAGAAAGGATCACAGAAATAAAAGTTTCTTTTAGGAAAGAAAGATGTGGTTTTGCACGATTAATGCCTGTAAGAAACAAGGGCTTTTTAAATTATTATTATTTTTTAAATATTAAAACATAAAGAAGAGGGAAACAAACGCACAGAACCAGTGGGTTGGAGACTGATGCTCCTCTTCTCCCTCCCTGGTAACACCCTCTAGAAGCTAGGAAAATGGAGATGCAGAAAAAAGAGCGGGGTATTTCTAGGCCAGAGGCCTTTTTTATGCCCCACATCACATGCTGGGAGAAGAAAGAAGGAACCAGTATCACGTGGGGAAGGACAGCTTCTCCTCTGGTCACATCCAACACACTGGGTCTGATCAGGAGACCTCACTGACTGCCACAGGCACAGGCTGGTTGGACACCAAGCAGGCTGACACAACAGTCTGCAGGCTGCAAAGCTCAGCTGCTTCTTTGGCAGCAGTTTTCACCCTTACGTTTTCATGTGTACATTGTGCCTCAGCACTGCTTACACCACAAGGGATTCTGGTTTCTGCTATTTTATCCATGCCCAATACCACCAGGTGCTGAAAACCAACTGAAGTAAAACCACCCAGAAGCTCTTCTGGAGACTGCTCAGGTCAGCAGGCTTCCCCTGGATGCATTACCCATCCAAAATGTGAGTATTCTAAAGCAAACATTTGATTTGATCCTACCAACACTGAGCTAAAAGCTGTCTTTGTTGCTCACCTTCATCAGCTTCCAGGAGAGGTGATGTGGGAAGCCCCCCAGCCCATTGCTGTCCCAAATCCCAGTCACACTGCTCCCTCTGTTTCACACCTTCAAGTGCTAAAGCCATTCCCCACCCCCTGCTATAGGAAAGCTTACGTATCACTAAAAGACAACACAGGATCCAGTGTGTAAGAGAAAGCAACTCAGTGAACTGCACCCAAACAGCCAGGTAAGAGATCCCCACGTGATCAGAATCACGCCTGTAGATATCAGTGTAAACTCATTTCAAACGGTGCCTTGCTCTTTCCAGGAGCAGACAAGTGCCTCTGCATTACCAAAGGCAGGCTCAGATGTGGGGGCACATCCCTCATCCTACAGGGGAGATGATTTAATGGTGAGCTCACCCTTCTGGAAGCACACAGGTTGTGCTCCTTCTGTCCTTCCGCTGTTTGATTAGCAAACATTCAGATAATTGCCAATGGAAGGTTCCAGCTGCACAGCCTGCTCCTTCAGCCCCCTCCCAAAATTTCACTTTTTCACAAAACAAGATAAGACCACAGTTTATGGCAGAGCACAGAGAAAAAGCAAAGACCACGCTATTGTGAGCCATTTATTCCCAACTCAGCAACAAAGGAGAAGTGGAAACTTGTATCCACCGCACTTAGAAAAACAGAGGTGTGAGCTGATGTGGAAGCAGCCTGTAGAAAATGCTGAAGGGTTTCCTGAATGGGTTAGGGAGCAATGTCTGCATGCATCCTCAGCAGGTCAAGCAGCATCAACGCATGGCTGTGAGATCCCAGGTCCCACAGCAGCAGCAGCCTGAAGGCACCCAGGTCCTCCAGCACTCCAACGTGTGACAAAGGGCTGATTTGTGAAAAGTTCCCAATCCTGCTGGGAGTGAGCACCTACAGCACTCAGCAGTAGGAAGGAGCATCATTTCAGGTGTTCACTCCCACACGCTGTGGTATGATGGGGTGAGAAACAGGCTACAGGAACAAGGGCACGGTCTGACAAAAAGCAAGTGGGTGCACTGCAAGGAGACAAATTGCATTGCTGCATGTGCTCACTCAGTCCTGGGAGAGCTCTCTCCTCTCACTGTGCTTCAGGAAGTGCCTGCACTGAGCTGAGCCCAGCAGGCAGACAGAAGAACAACTTCCTTCAGCAGCCTTCGGTGTGGATAAACAAATGATGACTTTACAGCACACACACACACGGAGGGACACGGGGCTTGCAGAAAGGCCTGAACACTTTCAGGTCTTAGGTTGAAGTTGCCATCATTTTGTACAAATATTGAGTCATATCTTCTGCAAACAAAAACAGGAAAAGCACAGGCCGTAAACAAAGAAGAGCAGATTACAGAAGGCTCTAGGTTAGAAACCAGCTTGCATACAGCAGTTACCAATCCTGTGCTAAATCACATTCCCTTTAAAAAGCTGCTTTATTTGAACAAGCCAAGTTATACGTTTGTAAATGAATACAGACCAAGTGAATGCTTGCAGCTACAGTGAGGCTTACAGCCTGTTATCTTGTTTTCATTGGCATTTCAGTGCTTGGTGATTGTGATGGTATTTTATTTTAGTAACATCAGCAACTGTCCTTATCTCTGTAGCTGAACAGAAACAAGCGTTCACCCACAAAACGTGGCAATGTTTTCAAAGAACATTTAAGCAATTCAGGTCATAAAATCTCAAATCTTTTTGGCCGCAGACCTGCAGGGTTCCTTCTGTGTTTCTTAGAGACTAGCAGGGCCCCTACCAAGCTGCTGGGAGGACACAAAGGCTGCTACCAAGTGCTGTCTCAGAGCTCCACCACAGCTTGGCACCTAAATCCCACAGGCCATCAGAGGAACTTCAGCACCTGCCACAGGCATCTGTCAAAACCTCACCCAGGGAGCACAGGCCACATCAATGGGCTCTCCTGGCTGCTTGCAACGAGCTGAAGGCAACACCTGCATCAGCTTCTAAAGAACTGCAGCACATCTCTGTGCAGCAGTTGGCTGTCCTCTTTCCTTGAAGAATCTTTGCTAAAAGGTCTGGAGGCAGAGCAGCAGCTCCATTGGGGTGGGATCTCCTGTTCCCCGCGAGCAGCTTCACACACATGTGCAAAGCTTGCAAGCACAGAATCAAAGAACGAAACACACACAAAGAACGAAAGCGTGGAAACCCAACACACTTTTCCACTCGATGCAGTGACCAAACACATTGCTGAGAAACACCTGCAGCTTTAGCACGGGGCCTTTAACAGGCAGCAACAAAGCAGCAACACCGACAGGGCTTCCTCAGCTGCGGTTACACCCTGAGCATCGTGCCGCCTTCACAGCAACAAGGGCTGCAGCGACGCCGGTGTGCAGCAGTGCCTTTGGGGAGGCTGTGACCGCCCTGCAGGCTGCAGGCTGTGCGGGCTCCGTCCCTGCGTCCCCCGGCGCTGCGGTCGCTGCTTCCTTCCTGCTCGGCTCCACGCATTGCAGCGGAAGCCCGGAGGTCAGCCGGGCACTTCCAGGCACACCAGGGCTGCTCCCTCCCCCAGAGCCCGAGCAGAGCTCTCTCCTCCAGTTTCCTGTTTGCTGGACAAAGCGTTTTTCCTCCGTACAGGCTCGGTCTTGCAAAGCCATTAACAGCAGAGGACAGCTCTAATCTCAGCGCTGCCTCTTGCTGCTGCAGCGATGCAATTAGTTCAATTAATCCACGTTACAATCGCGCAGCACCTCGTGGGCTCGGGACTACATCAGCCTTACCTCAAGGCAACGTGAAGGCAGCGCTGCCTCTTCCACTGGCGCCAGCCAGAGGTTTGTCACTGCCTTCCAACATCTCTCAGCTACTTCTCAGCAAACTGACAGGCACGGGATGATCCTGCTCCTCCTCCACTGGCTCAGCACTGCACCAACATGCCCTGATGCAGCACTAGGGCTGCAAAGCTGCTCCGTGCAAAGCGTGCTGCACGCAGCGCTGTGCAGAGCTGCCGTGAGACAGACAACTACAAAACGCTCCAATTGTTTGGAAGTTGTGGTGTGCATTTCTTATCTAAGGCAATTTACAGAGGGATTTTCTATTTGCACTCCTGCTGATGTGAGCAGGGGTTCTGCACGAGCAGTGCTCAGCATTTTTAGGTACAGGCTGCTTTTAGCAAAGATTCTTCAAGGGAAGAGGACAGCCACCCCTTCACCTCAGCCCTGAAACAAAATTCAATGCTGTTATTTCATAAAGAACAGCAGCAAGCTGAGCTCAGTTATAAATCAATGATGAAAACCAAGAGGGTGATAAACTCAAATCAGAGCACCTAAGTCTCAGTAAAACCATCCTACTCAAAACTGAAGATAAGGCTCTCTATATGCAAACTTGGCTGTTTGAAGGGGCACGACCCGAAACACAAAATGCAATCTCAGTCCATGGAAAAATGACAAATGTCTGGTGAGTGTTTTTTAAGAAAGCAAAGCACGCTTATTTAGTCTGATGGAAAGTTAAGGAAAGAAAGCATCAGAGAGGATGTGGGAGTGTCTGACAGCTAACACTAATCCATTGACTGCAAGGCAGGGCTCCTAAGGGAGATGATGCACTTTCTGATTGTGTTTCCCCAGAACTAACACACGCACCTAGGGCAGCTCCCACACACAGCTCCCTTTCTTTAGAAATTCTGCATCACTGTGGTGGCCTGGAAAGGAGATGATTGCTCAAAGTGAAGTAAAGCACTCTGATGGCTGCACGGTTCCTTGCTGCTGCTGCTGGAAAAAAACAAAGCACATTTTTACAATCAACTCAAGGTCCGATTTGACCCACAGCACTGCAGCTGTAGGGCTGCACCCCAAGGGAGAGGCCAGACAGAGCTGCCAGCACACTGTGATTATTTCAGTAATAGAGCAATTAATGGCTGTTTTTCTGTAATCACGTGCTACTGACCCTGCTGCTGATGGACAAGGCTTCCTTCAGGACTTGGATATGCTTCAGGTTGCCTGAGGAGGCTGTGGATGCCCCATCCTTGCAGGCATTCAAGGCCAGGCTGGATGTGGCTCTGGGCAGCCTGGGCTGCTGGTTGGTGACCTGCACACAGCAGGGGGTTGGAACTGGATGAGCACTGTGCTCCTTTGCAACCCAGGGTATTCTATGATTCTTCTGTGATTCCGAATATGAGATCATATTGGACTTTCTAGAGGCAAAAAATCCCAGTGATTTACCTTATTTTACAGGCAAGGCAGCTGAAGCATAGGCAGTGCTGGAAACTAGAATGGAGGATCTAAAATCCTTCATCACGTGCTCATTATGGAAGAATACTGTCCACTAAGTGCTGCTGCAA